TTGTAGTGAATAAGGAGAATAACATATATCTCCCTTAGGATGATGGTATAAAACATGAGAATCTCTGCTCAAGAAATTTTCAGAGGAGAGAGAAATATCCCTAAGTGGTGCATATGCAGATATGCTGGCAGATCACAGGAGAGTTAGCACTATTTACAGCAGCTGAAGATCTCTCTTGCTAAATGTTGTTGTCGTTTCATAATCAAGTGAAAAGCAAAGAGCAGTCTGYAAATTTATGTGCAAACTCCCATCTGTGCCAGAGGAAGAAGAAAGAAATTTCAGATGCAAATAAAGCTGCCATGGAGCACCTGAGCTGCATCAAATTACTGGTCATTAATACGGGAGTGGAAGATTTGGGTGTTTTTCACTGAACATACATAAACATTCCATAAAATATATTCCTGTGTTGTAAATGTAGTAATATCCCTTGCTTTGTCAGGAAGATTATGAAGCCTACTAACAATGGTGTTTACAGCATTAGCTGAGGAGGCTAAGAGGTTTCTCTGTTAAACTCCCTTTTCTGCTAAGGGCTTAGCAAAGATCATTTACTCTTTCCATATCCTATGTTTCATCTTACAAATTCCAGTAACAAYGTAGACATCATGGCTGTCAATAGGTTGTAATATATGGGATTGCTGAATGAATTGATTTTCTATTTTGGTACAGTTAATACATTTTTTATGTCAAACAATTATTCCTCCAGCTACATAAATAGGTGTCATTAAGAATAGAAATTCACTACACAAGGCAACTTAGCTTTTGGAAATGCCTCAAGTAATGAATAYGTATTTATGATAAGTGGAAGAAAAAAATATATTTCTATTTTAGTTGTCTTCATGCCATGTAGACACCTCACTGCATGTTGGGCTGTAAATTTCAGCTTGGTAAAGTCAGTTTTTTAATTTCAAACAATTTTTGAGCAGTGATTTGAATGCTGTTGTGAAATGCTTGCCTCATGTTTTACGCTGATGTGGCTTCCTAAAAATGATTAAGAAGCACCCAAGCACAAAAATAAAACCTGTTAGGTTCTGTCCAAATTGCTGCTGGGGTTAGTCTAGTGTAATAATCACTTCTGAAATCTGGAATACTGTCAGGGATGCAAGCCTCACATATTCTTAAATATTTGCAATAACCAGCTTCTTCTAAATGCTTACACATCCTGCTTCRCTTCTCAGGATAGTTTCTTTATTTTCTATAAGCATGAGGCTTTCACCAAGAAGACAGCAGTACTTGGTATTTGAATGACACTTTTCACTTTCAAAATATTGTACAGATATCGAACAGTTTTCTCTAAACTCAGGCAAGAACTGGGAACAAAAAAACTAAGTGTTAATGGAAGTTTGATGCATATACCTTACACCTTTGATAATCACACCCTCTCCTGTTGCTGTTTTTCTAATAAAGAAACCAAGCTGACCAAATTGTGATTTCACCACATCTGTTTAGCTGGTTAGTAGCAAGCTCCATTCCCTCTTCCCATATTTTATCCATGTCTCATAGTAGTCACCAGGTTTACWGTATTTGTAACCTCAGAATGCATTACCTATCCTGTGTAACCCAGGTTCCTGTTTGTGAAATGCACTGTCCAGAAGACACTGAACAGGAGTTTTCTGATGCTGGTGTGATCACAACATTGGCGACAGCTGTAAAGTGGAAGTTAAATAATTCAAACTGATTTCCTTCATTATGAAAGATTGACTACACCAAACCAAAAGTAGACCTAGTCAGCTGACATGAGAAAAAAGCCCTTCTGACCCAGAGCAAGGCTTGTAGAGCTCTTGGTTCTGTCTATAGGATCCCAAGAAAAGGCTGARCAGTGGATGCAAGGCATCTAACTGAGCATATAAAACACCTGAAAGAGCAGTGCTCTTTTATAAGTTGTAAAGAAAAAAAGAAGCTGTTAGTGTTCAAGACTGTTAGATAAATGTCGTTAAAATGTTACAAGGTTATTGAGATTATTATTCTTTAATATTGCAGTAAAATACACTAAAAATTATTTACAGCTGAGTGCCATGAAGAACTGTCCAAGTGACCCATGAATAAGCAGACTCAGACAGATGAAAGCATACAATCATATTAGCAAGTTCAGAAAGCTCACTAGCTCTGCTGAGCAGCCTCTCCAATATTTTCGCTATTGTGCTTGTGTTCTGGGGGGATACCTCTAATTCATCACAGAGAGAGAGGCACTGTAAYGCGTTTTCTTGGTTTAGATCTTCTGTGTGATTTGAATTACACTGTTTCTATTAAAAATTTCATTTTGGAAGAGTACTTGTCTGGTCCTGATCATGCTGATTGTTCTCCAGCTGAAAGGAAAATATGGTGCTCGTGTCTCAGAGAAGGGTGCTCTGTGCTAGGGTGGGTTTCTTKTTGGGCTGTGTTGCTTATGTCTCCTACTCAACACTTAATATTCAGCAAAGGTGCTACTGTTTTTTAACCTTTTATCCAATACTCCCTGTGGTCTGGCAGGGCCTGTCTAACTTTGGTATACTATCCCAGTGAAGAAGCTTGGATAGAGCAAATAGATTTTGCTGAGAGATGGCCTAGACTCTGATTAAAGTTTCAGAGCTCGCAGATGGTATCTTGCAAGACTTGGATGTCATTGTCTAAAAATAATGAAAGAGCAAAGAAAAAAGGGTGTATTTTTCTGTCTGCTCTGTCCAGTTGCTCTACAAACAAGAGGTCTGGCTGCAATCATTTTGCATCACTTCAGCTAATACTCAACAGATGCAGAGATATTATTTTTATATATATCTRCAAGACCGAGCACAAACAGAATTGGGTGGTGTTCATCAGGCAGAATTTAGAAATGACATGTCAGCCTTTCAAAGACACTAAATTTGGCAATTGTGTAAAAATTGTAGAGATTGTGCAAAAGTGTCRAGATCCGAATTGGTGGGGAGGAGTTGGTGGGGATGAGTGTGCCCAGATCTCTCTATTTCCCAAAGTAGTGCCTGGAGTGAAGACCCCGATGGGCTTTATAGCTGGGCCAACAGCCAACTAGCAAAAGTATGTTTCATAGAGCCAGAAATGCTGTCAAAGTTGTGAGCTCAAATACAGCTGTTACCAAGATCTGGCTCTTAATTTGAAATGTTTAGGAAAGATCGGTGAAGTCAGCTCTCATGTCATTTTCATTTGCTAATGGAGTAATCAACATCTGTAGAGCATCAGCCACAAAATCTTCCATTCAATGAAAAGTGTGCTCGAAAATTCTCTTGTCTGAGATGTATAATCTCATTTTAATTAGCAATGCACATGATTACTCCAATCAAAGCAAGTCAGTGGCAAACACTGCCATCTGTATTCATCGTTAACATCAGCCAGCACGATGACAGTCTGAGTTAAAGTCAATATGTGGGCTCTGAGGTCCAAAWGTCTGTTCAAGGACAAAGAATATTGTCCTAGTTTGTTTCTACTACTTAACTTTTGAAAGACAACCTTCATCTTAGAATTTGCCAAATATGGAGCATCTCCAGTTTGGCATCAGGGAATGTTTTACATCGGGGGTGTGACAGTCTTGATAATTCTCTGTAACAGAAGATATTGTCCCYTTTTTTGAGTAATTTGATTATGCCTGGAATCAGGATTGCATGACATCTGCCCAGTATCCAGCCTGGCCAGCTGTGTGGTTAGGAGTTTGGAGATGTTGATTGGCTTCCATGGCAAGGTGCACAATGAATCAGTGAATTTTTAAGACAGCTGTCCAACCCAGTGGTAAAATTCTGCCAGCTGCCCGCTGCCAAGGTCAATGCCCGCAGGATGATGTGTTGTGTGTCTGTTTGTGCATGCGCTGCCATCTTCCAGTGCCATCAGCTGGTTAAGAAGAGGTGTCTGAACACACTTAACTGCTTCTGGATTTATAAGCTTCTTTATCAAATGTTCTCACAGAAAGCTGTATATGAGAAGCAGCAGATGACCTGGTACCAATAAGAATGCTCTRTTAATGTAAATATTTAATAAGATATATCAGATTTTTGAAAGAACTTTTCCGCTGCTAAGCCATTAAATTTTTCCAAAGGTTACATGCATTCCAAGAACATTTACCAAAAAAAGCACAAGCATAACTAAGCTTATAGATTATGTAAAATTCTGCAGTCTTCATCCTCAGAGAAGGGAATTATCTGGGCATTTCTGAAGATGTTAGTACAAGACTGTAAACTCCTTAAAAGAAGACATATTTCAAATAGCATTTTTCCTCCTCCTGAACCAGACCTACCCTGCAGAATTGGTGCTTMAAATTATTTTGGTTGCGTAGTCATAATTCTGGTAACTTCTTTTGAAGTTCTCCTCATTATGAGAGGTAKCTTTGAGTGTTTTATATCAACGCATAAAACTACTGTAATTATTCTTTGCAATTACACTAGAATGAACAACAATTAATTACACAAAATCCTTCTCACAAAGGTGTTTGCCAGTGAAAAGCTTGCCATGGCTTTATTTCCAACAATAAAAGAGTAGGAATTATTAGACATCTCTTCGGATTTTACTGATCTGACATTTCTGCAGCCAGGGTTATGATCATATTTTTTTCTCTATAGGAAATAAACATCAGTTCTTGACAGGCATGATCTTTCAACAATATTTTACATGGCAAAAATATTCCCAAATATTTTTTTCTGTAAGAAACCAAGGTCTGGATTTTTAGCTGGGTAGCTCCAGTGAGTGACCTGCACCTGCTGGGATTCATGTGCAGGGTCATACCCTCAGAAAATGAGGAACATCTACCCTGATGCAGATGCCAGGCATAGGACTGGAAGGCAAAGGCTGAGAATTGGTATCACATTTTATCATTCAGTTTCTCTTAAAGGAAAAAGAAAATGAGCAAGAAGAAGAGGTTTCTGTAAAGACTAACTTCACAGTGGAAAGTTTTCCTCTGAATAGGACCTTTTCCTTTGGAGAAAAGAAAGGGTTACCTGTGACATAAAATATGATTAATTGTTCAGCAGTAAATGTATCCAGTCTGATCTAATCACCTGTCTTCATGTCTTTATCTCCTTTCACAGAGCCATGTTTGACTATGACAAGAGCAAAGACAGTGGCCTCCCAAGCCAAGGACTCAGTTTCAAGTATGGAGACATCCTTCATGTCATCAATGCCTCAGATGATGAGTGGTGGCAGGCAAGGAGGGTCACTCTGGAGGGGGACAGTGAGGAGATGGGAGTTATACCCAGCAAAAGGAGGTGAGTGCTGCCCTGTCAATTATTAATAACGGCATAAAGAAAGGGGAGAAGAAGGAGGGATCACCGTCCGCTAAAGAGCTTCAACAAAAAAAAAGGCAATAACCAGAACCCAAGTCTGGGAATTAGCTCTGAATTTGAAGTGGAGCACATGTTTTAATGTCAGGGTGTTTAGCCATTGCATCAAACTGCTGAAGGATGTAATGAATGTCTTGACATTTTCAAATCAAGACTGTATGTCTTTCTTTTGAGAGGGTAATAGAATTAAACTTCTCAGCCTGTGTGATGTAAAATATGGTGCTAAATTATAATAGTCATCTTTGGCTTCAAAATCTCTTAATTTAATCTCTGTCTGCCTGGAAAGCAATGGATAATCAATATCACAGTAAATTTTCCTTATGATGTAATGAAACTTCCATCTTCTCTCCAAGCTAAATCTGAATCTTTGTTTGGTTGCAGTGGATTTGCAGTGACTGTTGGAGACAGAACAGACATCCGAATCTCCATCATTGTTTGTGTTGTTTATTCTGTCCAGGTGCTTTTGTAAAATCTGCACCAAGTCTCTGATAGTATCAGAACTAGCACACAAACTGGAATTACTTCCTGGCTCTGTTGATGGTTGCTATAGAAAGGTCAGGAACYGAAAGGGTAGGAGGAAAATGAAATCTGTCAAAACATATTACATTTCTCTTTTGCAGCAGTGCTCTGWGTATAAACTTTCTATTCCTAGCTGTTTCAGCTTTAGCATGAGTACAAAAATGATCATAACCATATTTTATTGTGGGGAAATGGGATGCTTGAGGCTCTTTAGAGCACCTGCTCCTGTTTCAAGAGAGTTTCAAGGAACTAACAGAGTTTATGGTACTCATTGCTCTAAATCACATAAAAGTAAACTAAAAGGCCATCAAATAACTTGTTGACACGAGCCCTGAAAAGACTTTATTTTCTCTAATGATCGTGTTTGAATAGCACCCACACYTGGTTTTTCAGCCATTTTGGAGTTGAATGATAGACAGAAATAAAAGGTTAGGTTATAAGTTTTAAGATGGGAAAAATGTTCCCATTAACCAGATTTGGTCTCTAGATATTGAAAAAGGAATACTTGCCTGCTATTCATTGCTGCAGTAAATACTGTTGTAATTACATGATTGGATCATACATGGGAAGAGAGAGGAGTTTATTTAGTTAATACTAAGGAAAATACGTGCACAGAGCTCACTCACTGTGTGGTGCCTACTCTGAAAAGGTGCAAAAAGCTGTCATACATAATAAAACAACTATAGAGGAAAAAAGGACAAAGCAAAGCAGCTAATTAAGATGTGGAATTGTGTATCCTGCAAAGTGGAAAGGTTGTGTGTACTTAAAGCTTATTGGGTTTCCCACACAGTGGTGTTTTCAAGGACAAAAGAGAGAGGTTCTCTAGCCAAGGTCAGATGTATAATAAAGCCTGGGAATAAGATGTGGCTTAGGAAACAAGAGGCAATGTGAAAATAGGTTGGTTACAGGCTAAAAATAAAAGCCTGAATTTTAAAAGATGCAGGTATAGTTACCATGCTCTCCACTTGTCATCCTTATTCTGCACTAGTGAATCTGCGGGGCCTGGAAAAATCAGTGGCATCTGATTTCCTGTCTGCATTAATGTAATGATACACCTGAGCTGGGGAGGGARGAGGTTGCTGTTATTTCATAAAAGGTTTCAGTTGTACAAGGTTATTTCTTCCAGTGCACTGAAAAGTCAGTGTTGTTTCCTTTCTGTAGTTTCTGGATGATTCCTCAGAGTCCGAGACTGATGGGTTCTTCTCTGCATCTTTTGTGGTCATTTACACCACCCAAGGGGAGGATGAGCAATCAGTGCACACAGGGCTGAGTTACAGAGAATAAAGCTAATCATACTTGCCAGATTGTGCTAATTCAGAGTTAAATTTCCTCTGCCGGTGTGGGTTATTGAGTATAAGAGGATTAATCTAAAACAGAATAGTCCCCAGAATTCATTTGACCAAATATAGGCAGCTACAGCATGGAAATCCTCATTTAAGCTGTTGGCTCCAGTATTCCACGTATCTTATCATTTATATGGGATTATTTCTATAGACATTGCTTTCTATATAATGTAGCATATGTAATATCTAGCAGTAAAATATTTTCATAGAAAGGAAAGAAGGAAGAAAAAATACCTGTAGCTGTTTGTTGGGCTTGTCCTGCAAGTTAAATTTGCCATGATGTGTAAAGTGAAGAGATTTTATATTTGTCTTATATATTTCAATTCCCCATTCATTTCTGTTCCTTTTTTTTTAGGGTCTGAGGGTTTTTAGAGGGTGTGCTTGGTGGGGTTTGGTTTTGGTGTTGTGCTTGGATTCCTTTTCCTGCCTGTGGAATGTGGTACTCTTATTTTTTCTCACTTTGGGTCAGTGAGTGTCCATGCAGACATCCAGGGATTATTAGTGCCAGGTTGAGTTTTTAGCTGTGCTTTACTTCTGCCTTACTTCTACTTACCTTAACTTCTGCCCAGCAATAGCTAAGATACAATTCCTGCATTTCCCATAAGTGAAAGCATTATGGAATAGCTCTGAAAGCCAGTGACCACTTCAATTTTACATATGAATATATTTTATATATTTATATATATGTGGTTGTATAAACACATGCATATATATATATATCAACATATTAAGTCCTAAMAACTACATTATGTTACTTCTTTGAGGTGCTGTGTAATGGTAATTGCTTTCCATATGTTTAGGATTTTTATTTTTTTACAGGAGAGCCTATCATACAGTGGCATTTGAGCATGAGCTGATTAGAGGTATCGGGAATGTTTAATCAAGGCTCCTTACTCTTTTTCTCCTCTATGACTTACGTGTTACACTAGGAAAAAAAAATCGTAATTTAGACTTATAGGGGAGCTGCCACGCATTGTTCTCTTTAGGTTTTTGGATACATTACCAGACTTCAGCTCTTAGTGATTTAATAGAGTTTGAAAGCTTTGTTGTCATTAGATTTCAGTGCTGCTGCCAACATGTGAAGTTGTGGCCTTGTTTGTGGTTAAATTGCCAAGGCAGGCTTTCAGAGGGAGTTTTGGAGGGCAGCACTGCAGCTGGAGGGGTGTTGCTGAAAGAGACAGCACAACAAAGTGAGGKTGGCCCCAAGTTTCTCCAGTGATTTATGCAAGGACCAAATCTCATGAACCAGTGAGCCAATAATCTCCGTGGAGATTAAAGAAAAGTAAATTCTGAGTATTCTACAACTGAAAAGCACATTTTGCCCATTTGTCTGTATGTCTTTACTGCCTGATTCTAGCTGTTGTTCTTGACCACAGGACTGAGTAGTAGATACTTTCTAGCAGTTTCTAGAAACCAAATGTAATGGTATACAAGTGGTGTGGTGTTACATTATGTTGGTGTTGGGAAGCACAGGACTTCAGCATGAGAGGCTTCAAACCACTTCAGTTGTGGTTTAACMATTGCCTAATAGTTATTATACACTATTAATTAATGAACATTTCAGGCCAAATTTCTCTTGGTTCCACATCTGCCCAAAAGATTTATCCAAGCTATGTTTAAGGTGACAGCACAATTGTATCAGGCAGGGTCTCCATGGTGAGGGGACATAGCCACCAGCCCTGTGCCAGTGTCTCAGACAGCCTGCAGTATTACCTGGGCACTATGGTTTCATGTGTGAAGTGCTCCTTTATCATCAAAAATTGCTATTTATACTAGAATAACCAACAGAATTAGATTTCCACTGRATTTTTTTTTTTTTCATTTGGATATATATATGGATAAGTTTAGATTAGAGTTTCTAYATAATCTGTTCTTTTGACAATGAGAATTTTTATTTGCCTCATTGCCCATCTTATTATCCATATAAAAAAAAATCAGCTTCCTATAAAGGGCATCAGCAAGCTGAGCAGCCCATATCTAAGATTCGCTCCCTGTGGAAACACTCACATTAGTTAAAGGGAATGAACAAAATGCATGAAACCTATGTGCATAAGCTAGAGTGCATTTAATTCCCAGACAGATGCTCTAATTCAGTAGTAAAGAGATTTTAATTTGCTGGAGCACTGATTTTACACCTCCAGTTCTTTCCACTTTTTCCTTGCTGAGTCTCTGCCCAGAGACAAGTTCCTACATTGCACACCCTCCACAACAGCAACCTCCCACCTCACAAATGTCAAGCCTCAGCRTTTTCTGTGGTTGTGTGTGCATCTGCCTGACTTGAATCTGTGGGTCTGAAATGCAGCCCTTCACACAGATCACCCCAGAATGGCTGAGCATAAATTCTCACCATTTTTACTACTGCTCCCACTACATCCAATGAGGATTTGGCCTTAAAACACTGCAATAATCACATGAATCTTACTGCTGTGCTTAGGAGGTACAGCCACAAACCTGCTGTCAGACAGGCATCTTTCTAAGATACCCATCTTTAGGTAGTTCAAGTGCATCTGACTGCCAAATATTATGCAACTTGTACCTCTGTTATTACCAGCTGTGATAATATCAGCCTGATACTTGTGTTCTCCAATAGACAACATTCTCCCCACAAATACATGTAGCCATGCTCTCCTTTCAGAGCCAAGCAGGGGGAAAAGTACATAAAACCCAGTGTTTCACAAACATTTAAGGACAAGGAACAAGAGGTTTTCCCAGCACAGAAGTCCCTGTGGGCGAAAAGCCAACTTAAATTTGTTATTCTGCTCAGCTTGGCAGAAGTGCATGTTTATCCACTCAAGTGAGTTTTATTTTTAATGGTTTCCTATAAATCGTCTACCTTTCTAAACAGCCCTTAACATTTTAATCCTTAGATGAGAAAAATTTTTCACGTGGCATAATCATGTAAGCTTTGTCTAAAATAATTTATCTGTCTATACTCAGTAATCTAATTGGAAAAATGTAATATGAAATTAAATTTGTGTGTAAGTGTAGGCATAAACCTCTTCCCGTGCTCCTGCAGTGATGTGAAACTTCTGTGCTGAAGGAAAACAGCTGTTAGCTTTTAAACAGAATAAGGTTGCACTACAATTTTATRAGAATTCACTTCCTAATGTCATTACATCCACTCTTTTCATAAATATTGACCAGRTGCTGAGCTGCTTTCTATAAGCAAGCCACTCCTCATGGAGAGCTGAACAAGAGCACATTCTCTCCTTCTGAAAAATACATGGAACATGCCACTTCAGGAATGCTCAAAAATTATTTTGAGAATGGGAATCTCTTGGTAAGCTTAGTTCTCACATCTTGCAGAGGATGGAAGCAATAAAAAGCTATGAACTGAGACCACATATTTGAACTATAAATAGCATGTACAGATTTTCACTTATCTTTTACTTGATRGGCAGGGAAAACAAATGTAGTGCAGATGACTGTAAATGGTGAAGCAAGATGAGACATAGCAAGGTCTTTCAAGTATCCATATTATATTGCTTTCTTGTATTTGCCAACTCTCCTTACTACAGTACTAATGCTGGATTTGGAAAAACTTTCATCCTGCAAAACACCTCAATGCTAAATCTGTGCTCATTAGGCTACTGTTACCATTTTATTTCCTCCTAGAAACCAGTTTGYAAACTGTATCTGTATTCTACATCAGCGGTGAACAGTGTTATTGAAGATTAAAGCATTTCTCTCTTGATGTTCTACCTCTCCACTCTGAAGACTGATTATTGTTTTCAGAAAGGCACTGACAAAAYTCCCAGTGGTCCATTAATCTCCAGCAGTGGGTGATCATAGTTCATGTCTTGTTGAGTTATACTTGATTGTTTCTTGTTTGCAGCACACGTGGGGAACTCAAAGTCACATTTTAAAGAATCCCACAGGCCCATTTTCAGGAGCTGTGTGTTCCCAGAAACACTAAAGCAGAGAGACATTGCAGTGCAGTGAGTGTTGCATACCAGTAATAAGTTCCTCCAAGAGTAAGAAGGGAAGAGTATCCTAAAGAGCTCAAATCATGAACTTATTAGTGGGGGGACACTGAAGGCTGAGGTATATTTTCAGTGTACTGCTCCACTTCTCTTTACATGGGAACAGAGTGAATCCTGACCAATTCTGATCAATTCTGAAATAAAAAAGGCCAAGAGGTATCTACTACCAGAAATCTTTTCAAGAGAAAGTGAGTATATACATAGTATACTCCAACTCCCAAATCTCAGATGCTCTTAGATGATTTCCTTTTGCACAGTAGTGTTTCTGCAGGCAACTCTACTTGGAGAGTGGGTGGGAAGATGGAGGTAAAATCCCCGTTAGTTGTGCTAGGTTGGTACTGTCTCCACACAGGACTCAGAGCTTTTCAGCTCCAGTCATGTTTGAATGCTGAATGTAGGWTTCTTTGTACATTTCCTGAAACCTCTTTGAGTTTCAGTGACCCTTCAGGCACTTTTGAAAATGGGATYGAGCCATGAAGTTGCTTTGGAAATCATATCCATGCTTTTCCTGATCCTGTAGGCATAGCTTTATCAAGAAAATATATAAATAGAAAGGGTCATGGCAGCAATGTGTACATCAGGCTAGTCAGGGATGCAGCTCTGGTCTCTGTGSATCTGGGAGATCGGAGTCCTTCCCCTTTGCTTCGTTTTTGCACATCTCCCCGTAATCCTTTGTCGAGCAGTGGTGATAGAAAAAATGGTTACTATTTTAAGTGTTTCTGACTTTAAAAGCAATTTATTCAGCTGATGGATCAAAATGTTGTTTAACTGATGCCAGATTTGCTGTCAGCCAAAGCAGTGTAAGGAATTTACACTCAAATACTATTTAGACATTCACAGTGTCAGCAGCTGCAAATAACCTTTTGGGCCTAAATGCCTTTTTTCTTGAGGAAAGAATGACAGTCAAGTTTATTTGTCCTTAAATATAGCAATTAAAAAACAGCAAAAATAAGTAGTAAAAGTGTTTGAATTAGTGTTCCTTTAAAACAGCCTCCTCTAAGAGCTGGATCAACAAATCTRAAAGAACAGAGATTCAAAACTTTGTATCTTCTTCAATTTAGTTCCCTTTTTAGCTCTGTCTGTGACAAAAGTGTCCTGGTAGCTCAGATGAGAAATTCTGAGAACATCTGAGTTCACTGAAGTCCTGCAGCCTGACTGTTTCAACAAAGACTGAATCTTTGGAAAACCAAAGCTAAATTCCAATAGTTCTCCAGAGCATGTAAAACAAAGGCTTTTCAGGAATGTAGGTTCATTCCTGCAGGAAAGAGGTATATTCCTAACACCAGAGCAAGCCACTGCCACAAGGTAAATTCCAGACCAAAGACAGGAAGGCAATTAGAGTACCTGAGCTGCAGTGTTTTAAGATTATATTATGAATTGGGCAAACCCATTTATTTTGTCCTAGCCTTTTTCTAACAGCTGACCCATTTTACTGATGGTTCAGATGACACAGTAATGTCATCAGCCTGAGACACAATATTTCAGCTTGTAATCTTACAGTTCAGCTCAATTATAAGTAACTGAGAACAGTTTTATTGTAGAAGGTGTCACAAAAATTGTAATGGGAGGCAAYATTGTGTGCTACCCTTAATACAGACCCAGGGGATGAAATGTTTGGAACATTCAGTAGGTATGCTGAGCATATATGARCACTGTTATTATATTTGCCTGAAGGATTAGTGGCACTTAATGGCATTATTTAAATACATCTCAAAGCAATGCAGAATGTTTCTGCAGCTCCTCATCCATCKGCTATACCTCTAGAAAGCAGCGGTGCCTCCATGGCTGCTAATGCAATTATGACAAATTTCATAAATAAGATTCACTCTTCAGGGTTAATTTCCTTTTTTTTTAATGCTGTGAGTAAGAAATTAAGTTAAAAGCAGATGTTTTAGGAAGTTAGGCAGAGCTGGAATGAGTTTAAATTTTAACACAGATTAATAAGTAGAATATTGTGTTCATTTGTGCTAATTATTTCCCTAGAAGGYATCCATCCTATTTAGGCAATTACACAGCCTCAAGTCTTCATTTCTTACCGGTACTACCAAGGGACTTCATCTGCTAGTTTAAGTTTGAGACTGTTCATGTGTTTTTAATAATACAGATTTAGTTTGAAAGATGCACTTGAGCTGYTTCCATGCGAATATTCCACACTTACAGAGAAATGCATTTAATCTAAATTTAAATTGTAGCTATAGTAACCAGCATTCACTGTGCTTCAGAAGGGCATATATAAGCCTACTCCGACAGAAGGAAGCATGTTGTGTTAATTATCATTCTATCAAAACACTAGAATTTGTATTTTGAAAAATAATTATCAGGAACTATGTATTCCTACTCCCTGGGCTTAGAAAGCAAAATATTTGCAGGAATGTATTCTAATGTCTCTCATAAGATAGCTTTGTGGGATTCAAATGAGATTTCCCAGAGCAATTCCCAATCTTAGACAAATAAGGTTAGTTTTTCAGTTTCAGGTAGATSATCAGATTCTTTTTACTTGTGCCAGTCAGTGATAGATTCTGCAGATGATTTTGCAAAYGTGGGAAACATCACTTTTACAGTAATTCCATATTAATCAAAGTGAGCAATGACACGTCCTTGTTTCATTCCTGTGACTGTAGAACTCAAAATGTCACYTGATTTTTGAACAGCTTAAATCAGAGAGGGTAAATCTGTTCCTAGCATGGTCTTCCCACACTCTCATGTTGGGAGGCAGTGCTTTTCTGCTGGTGTCGGGCAGCCAAGACTCCTCAAACCCAGTCCCACATTTTCCAGAAAACTGCTGCCTGGCTGAGGAAGTGACCTCAGTCTTTTCAATGTATGAAATTTGCTTTAATTGCTTGCTCTATGTATAGTAAACTGTCAGTGGTCTTGGAGGAGCAGGTATCAGGCATTTCATACAAAATGCTGCTATAATTAACACGTGTCTCTCTTTGTGTCTTCTTTTCTCCAGAGTTGAAAGAAAGGAGCGCGCACGTTTGAAGACGGTGAAATTCAACGCGAARCCTGGTGTAATTGATGCCAAAGGGGTACGTAAATAGTGAAACCTTTTGAAATTGCACTTTGCAATTGTTTTATAAGTTTCAGAGTAGAGAACATTTTAGCAACAAAGGGAATATTTAGGTTGCTGCAACCAAGACCTGCAGTATGGTAGATCAGAGATTAGTATGAGATAATCTTTGAAATAATTAAATATTCTTTTTATAATAATATTGAATGACAGTGTCTCCTAAGGGGAAGATACTAAGAAAATAAACAGCATTCTGTGAGCTGTGATTTTARTTAAATGATGGGTAGAGAAGAAAATACTTTAAAAATGAATGAAGATGGATAGCAACTTAATGCAAAAGGGGCAGAAGTGTAAATTCTCTGGCTTCAAAAGCTGTTRAATCACAAAACAAAGGTTGAAAGTTAAGGAGTCGTGGATAGAAAAAAAAATAGGTTTTGGGTGTTCTGCTTTGACAGTTGTGACAGACATTGAACACAGGTGTGTTTCACACCAGGCAAAATGGYCAAAACAACACAAAACATGCGAGTTCACTTCCACCAGCGCTGCCTGGACAGAACAGCTTCCTGCTGTTGCCACTCCGCAGCGCTGCTTTACTGTGCCCAAGTCAGCAGTTCTCATTAGCCTGATGGCTACTATCCTGTGTATTGCCATCTGGCTGGCAAGTGTTACAGCATGAGAAATGCCCACAGTCCTGGCTGGTAAGGTATATTTTTCTGCTGAAGTGTAACTTGCAGTTGTAGCAGCAATGAATACTTGACATTTGCAGGGATTTATTTTTGAAACCCGTCCAGTTGGCATGTTTGGAATTTACAACTGAGGGCTTCTGTGAGCAAACTATGAGACAGAGATTCAGCAGCCATCAGGGAAAAGTCCTGTTTGGCTGCAGAAAACACAGGGCAGAGACAAAGCTTTGTGGTGAGTGGACATAGTCATGAATAGGTGTTAGCAAGGGGAAGAACCAAGAGGTTCAGCAGGTCCCTTCCAGACCCTCTGTTTCAGTGGTCTTCTGCCTAGTCTGAAATTCTCATTCTGAATCTCTTCTTCCTTCAGTTTCTCTCCCTAAGGGCAATACTAATAATTCCCTTATTCSCATTTATTCTGTCCTTTCAGACAAAATAGCAGGGTAAGAAATTCCTCTTGCTATGGATAYACAGTTCCCAGCACAAGGGTTCCCGAGTCTCTACATGCCAGCAAAGTAATATTTCAGACTTATAATGCTTCCCTTTTGCTGCTCTACAGAACTATTCCTGAATTCAGTGYAAATGCAGAATGATTGTACTGACTGAAACAAGTTTTCCAGACTTATAAGGCACATGGAACTGCACATTATTTGCATATGCAGATAACTCAGTATAAAATATATAATAAAAATGTGCTAAGAAAAGACTAATTCAACTCATTCRATTTCTTCAGAAGTCAGAATTACATTTTTTAGTTTGAAATGACCMCTCTCTGCAACCCTGTAAATTATTGTTGCCACTTAATTTGAGAGATAATAAGTTTTATATTCCCAGTGAAATCACTTGTTAAAAGTCTATTTCCCATACAGAATCAAAGCTGCAGTGGAATAATTCTTTCTTATAACTAATGGTCCCTTTTCAAGTGATTCTGTCAAGAATTTAATTACCTSTTGATTCCCCAAATTGTTTTTCCATTTTTGTCATCAGTGTAACATTAATCTTCCAGTCACTCAACATTAGTTTGATTCAGTGTTCAGGAATTTGTGTAATTACAGACCAAGACCACTGTACCCTTTTGGGATCRAATCTTCCACATGAAATGAGATATTTGAGTACACATATATATATGGATTTTGGGTGTCAGCATTTCCATTTGGTCTTTCAGTGTCCAAAAAACACGTGGTGCAAGCTGTGTAAGAGTCTACACTTTACTTTTTTTAGTTTTTATTTTTCAATTCTGAAAGAAATTTAGCCCAGGTAAATAATGCTGCAGTAGGCCCAGAAAAAGCTGTTGTTTCAAAATCAAGTAAAAATTCAGGTCTTAATGAGCTTATTATGTGTGTCTGTTGCACCTCCGTTTCATATGTTCATGACTGTATGGGCAAGGGGAAAGGTCTTAGTTTACTCTAAAGATGAAACTGAGAGAAATCTTTTCAATGGGATATTTCTAAATTTGGCCAGGAGATGTGCATGGAAGTATTAAAAAGACAGTAATAATAATTTTTTTAGAAACTTAACTGAATTCTTGGGGAATTTGACCTGGTAAAAGTGTACCCTATTGCAATTTTACCTGAAGCATCTCACTAGCCCTGACTTGTTTCTTCCCCTGCAGAAATAAAATTCAAGAGATAAGAACCCACAGCAAAGGTTTCCTGAGATTTCCYACATTTCTTTGAGATAACTATGATTTTAAAGTAGAAATTAGTTATTCTATGGGTTTATAAAATCTTAGGCATTTTCACCTCCTTTTTAATCCCAAATCTGGAGATAAGATACAAAGGAAGTGTTGCAGATAGGGTGACATTTGTAGTTGATCAGTTGCTTGTGTCCTGCAGAAAAGGTGTTTAAGAATGCTCAGCAATGCAGCTGACAAACCTGTTTGTCAGGACAGCCAAGCATAATTTTTCCAAGGGCACGAAGTTCCTCTTTTTCAGGCCAAGCTTGTATGTTACTTCATCTATAAAATTTGTTCAGCATTTCWCAAAAATGTCATTTCAAATATTTATATGCCTTTAGATTTGTTTCATTGGACTTCTCATTCCATGCCTTGTGAAATTAAACTCTACAAAATCAGGATGAATACAGAAACAGAGAATGTGAATCAAAATTAGGGAGCTCCAGGGAAACCTTCTGGCCTCAAATTTAAATAAGGCAACGGATAGTACCTTTCCATGCAATGCATAATTCAATTCCCATGCTCATTATTACAGGATATTGCATAAAAAATAAATAAGTTTAAAAGGAATTAGGTAAGTCAGCAAGCAATTGAACCAACGATAACTTTAAAACTTTTGTCATGTAACTCAGAATATATTAATTGTTAATTTCAAGAAGAAATGTTATAAAAGGGGRAGAAGGATCATATTGCTTCTACTTTTTCTTTTAAATATCTGTTATTGGACAGTGTCAAAAAGCTACTGGGCTAACTGGATCTCTGTCTTAACCCAATAGGGCTACATTTCTTTCATGTTCTGTTTTGACCCAAAGAAATTTATTTGTTCAGGTTCAGAGACATCATCAGGATCCAGGCCCCATTAACACCTTTCAAGATCTCAAACCCGTTAACATTCCTTCAATTAAGATGCTGTGGGAAGGAATACAAATACGGGTATAAACAGTTTCATTTCGCCAAGCAAAGACTTTGCTTCTGTTGTGTTGACAAGTTCAGCCTCTCTCTTCATTCATACAATTGTTGTAGAAAACCTCAGTAGCTTTTCTAGTTCTTACTGAGAATGGCTGGCACATCAAATCCCCCAGTTCCCTGCTCTGGTTCCCTACAGCTGCCCTGTGCTGCTCCAACAAAGGACAGGGTTTCCAGAACACTGGAAACATTTAAACTAAAAGAATAAAAGAAACACAGTTATGATTTCMTAAGCATTTGCTTTCTCAGTCTTTGAGCAGGGCTCTGCATCTGCCAAAGCAGCATCCTGTATTTGTGGTAACTCTCCCTGCCACAAGCTTCAGACTGAACAAAAGGAGCCTTTCCTTTTCTAATCCTAAAACCCATAGTTGCTGAGGCTTTTCAGACTTTTTAGTGAATCAAAAAGCRTGTCAAGTGATGAAAATATTGCAGGGGGAAAAGAGATTAGCCAGTAATCTGCTTTTTTTTAACAGTTATAGTTACAACAGGTCTTTCAGGAGACAAAAATAGCACCTTTTGCTTTTCTCCCTGTCAGATTACATCCTCTTCCTTGACTGCCTCTTGAAAATATTCTACARTTGAAATCATAGCTCTTGGAAAGACTTTTAGCAACATCTCAGTTTTACTAATATTTATGGATGTTGCCTGTTTCCAGAGACATGTTAAAATACCAGGAAATGTATAGATAAAAATTTTATACAGAGAACTGTTTTTTTATACCACATGCCTTTTCATTTCACACCTTATCTGGCCAGTGACTCCGGAATACTGTGTTGTGGACAAATACTCCATTTCCCAATGAAATGAAAGTGCTGTCTCTCACAACCTCCATTTTTAATATATATGTCAGGGTGGAGATATTCATCCCATGTTTACTGGGAAGCATTTCCAAATGGGTCCCTGCCCTAGGGAGCACTGCAGGGTGCGGAATAGTGATGATGTGTCTGCCAAGAAAAGGAAMTGCCCCATCCCTCGAAAATCCCTCCCAGCTCTGCTGCTCATCAGTAGTGCAGGTCCTGGGCTGTGACCCACACCACACTGCTCCATCAGTACCCACTAGGGTTTTTTCTATTCTCTTAGCTTGTCACCCACAGTTCTTTTCAGATTCCAGTCAGATCACCTACAGCACATTCAGCCAGCCTCCCCAATTGCCTCCAAATTAATTTATTATGGAAGTCAGAAGCTTGATAGCATTTAATAATATTTCTTATGTGCAGATTCTGTGTACAGATCCCACAGCCCTGCCTGAAATGTAAGGTAATCCTCTTGCTTTATTGTTATTTTCACRACACAGCACTGAGGCATGAAAGGAAAAAGCAAACCCTGACTGAGATAGCAAGTTTGGTATTTTGGGGTAAACAAAACCCTCTGCATACTTAATGAGTCTCTCCTCCAAGAGTCAAAACTCAGTGACTGACAGGGTTTGATATACAGGGCACCTTTTGACAGTTTATTAAGTATTTGAAAGGAGGCAGGAGGGAAAGCCAAACAATAAACCCACATATTTCCAAACCATTTATGCTCTAGAAAATCATTGTATTTTCAGTCCTAGTCATCAAATCAGAGCAAAACTTGTCTTTAGGAATCTCAGGTGGTCCCCTCTGCCCTGAGGGTGTGATTTGTAACTTCCTCCTATATCCCAGACTTGTCTGATCTTAAAGACCTGCCAYGACAGATATTTCATATTCTTCCCAAACA